AAATGCAGAAAGAATTTGGGCGCGAAAGAAATAACGACTACCCCGATGTTGGATCGACCAGGGTCATTATTATGAAGCCGAAGGAAAAAATAGGAAATCTAACCAAAAAAAGCAATGTTAAAGAGGGTATATCACTCTCATTAAATTGCTATTTAATACTATACACTAACCTACAAAAAAGTAAAACACTCAAGCAAAAGGCTTTCTGTATTAATCAATCTGTATTGTATAATTTAATTAACAGAAAGTTTATTGTGGTAGCTGATTCTCAACACTTTCATCACTTTCACTGTCCTCCGGCTCGTCGCCTTGAGGTAACTCATCAGATTCCTCACTCTCAGGGGACTCATCAACACCACTACCAGCCACTGTCACGGATTCATCACTTTCTGTGTCGCTCACGTCGATACCTCCGACATTTTCAGCAGCTGCGTCGTCTTGAGATAAATCGGCTAAAAAAGAGAAATTCGGATGATTTTCTGTTAATATATCATTAAATTTCAATTTAACTTTTGCTACTCACCATTACAGACGGCAAAGGTCAATCCAAAAAGGCAAATTATTATGATAGCTTTCATTTTTAGTTTTGATAAGGTTGTAGCACTGGTGTTAAACTATTTCAAACTGTTGACATCGGTTATGTGATGATACCTTTTATATCGGGCCAGTTTCATATGTATGTTTCACGAAATAAATAATATATAAGATAAATATTTGACTGTTTATAGATTTTTAAGCACATAAGTATTAGGGTGGTTCTTAATTTTTGAAATATGAAAAAATTTACAAATTCTACTTCAATAGCTTCAATAGCATTTAACCTAGAATGTTATATTTTGAATAAAAAAAATTTAGAATTTTTTCGAATCTAACAATTTGTTTGAATAAATATAAGCTCGATTTCGTCCACTAAAATTTTTACAAAAAAATTATTTTGTAAAATATCTCAGAGAATTGAACTAGAAGTTTACATTTTAAAAACAAAAAATTTAAAATGTATATTTATGAATTAAAAGTAAATAAAATTAAACTAAATTTTATTGAAATATAATTTTTAATAAAATTTGCATTTTATCCCAATTTTTTATAATTTATTTTTAAATCAATTTTTTTTTTAATTTCCTTGCGAAATATTTTTTAATAAATTTATATCTCACACCGATTTTTTTCGCCTTACCTACATATTATATGAATGACAATAACTATGAATAAATATATAACTTTCATATTGTTTTGACACGTATTGTTTAAAAAAATATATTCGTGTCACTGGCGTTAAATGCAATTTAAATATAATAAAATACAATATGAAATATGTCTTTTTTTTAGTTGTGGCGACAGCTATTAAAAATGGGTCGTTGCAGAAAAACAGCTAAAATTGATTTAAGAACTTTTGAAGAATATTCCTTTATTTTCATAGTAGATTTGACAATATAAGCAGCTTTGGTGACGTCACAATAGCGAATCTTGATATACTATTAACTACTAACAGCTAACTCCTCATTTTTCAGAAAATAAATAAATCCATGACATCATGAATCAACTAGCGAATTTATTAATAATAAATTTAACAACTTCACCTTTATAATTGCGTCACAACAGAGAACGAGAGCTATTTTGTAAAACATTCTGAATGCCACCTTCACATGAGTAAAACCACAGAGTATTAAAGAATTTAGGGCCATTGAGTTTAAAAGGAAATAGTAATCCTACTATCCTAGTGTTAGGGAGTCCAAACGAAGTATGAAATAACTACTGTTTTTTAACTTTTTAGAATAGGTAATGCTGAAAAGACTGATTAAGTGAATGTGAATTCTTTTCAGAGTTGAAGCTTTTGAAGATTTATATTGACTTTCCGTCTTTATGGTTTGCTGTGCAGTTTTTAGGTTAGGTTAGGTTAGGTTAAGATTTCCATCTTAAGAAGGCTCTTAGTTGGGCAACTTAGAACGCCGGTACATTATGGTACCTAAAAAACTCCTAAAATTTGGAACATAAGACACCTACAGTTAGACAAAGTGCTTCGAGCCTATCACAAATTTGTAGAAACGGATAATATTAGTTTCTGCTATGACTTCTGCTTCGTCGAAGGTAATATTATCGAGATGTTTCAGTCTCAGTCCTGCAAAAGCCGGACAATGGAGGAGAAAGTGCTTGGATGTTTTCACCTCCCATTCCTCCATACAACTTTGACAACTAGCGTCCGGTAAGATTTTAAGCCTTACCATATGAATGTCTATTGAACAGTGTCCAGTGAGAACTCCTACGATTGCGGCGACATGAACTTTGCTAAGGGCGAGTAGTTCACTTGTATTCTACTGAAGGCCATAAGGATCTCGCGTTCACACAGGAGCTGGTCGTCGACCCAAACGAGTCTGATGTTGAAGTAACTAGATGCTATTTCATATTGTTCAGTTTTCTAGTAAGTGGAACATTTTTTTCAATTTATTTAAAACTAAATACCTAATATATAAAAATTCAGTGTGAGATCTTTGGTACATATTTTTATCACATTGAAAACTTAAAAATCTTTAAAAACTCTTTTTAAGAAGCATGGTGTTTCAAGATGTTAAAGCTTTCGCAGCTTTTTGTATGCGTATATTTATTTAGTACGAAATACGATACTATTTTCGAAAAGAAAAAACTTAAAATTAAATTAAAAATGAATCGCAAGTGAATCATCAAAAAGATCTTAAGTCCATTACATATATAAAAAAATTAAATTGACATAAATCTAGTCTAAAATATTATAATAAAAAGTGTACTAAATATTTGTTTGGTGTTTTATTTTCAATTCTCATAAATACGCTGTTTGTCATCCAACCTACCGAATAAAGCAATTGCTGAACAATAATTTTTTATGTTTTCTGATACAATAACTAGGTCTACTGAATGTCGTTATCAATTTAAAACGTTCTGTTTTTACCTAAGGAACACCAGGATAGTTAGAAATATTAATGACTTATTGGTTTAACGCTGAAGCATTTTTAAGGAAGCTTCGAAAACCAAAAGAAAAATTTATGTACTGTTGTAGTGTAGTCTCATTGAGTTAGTAATCGCCCCGATAGCAAGGCAGCGAATTGATCTTGAGCTCAGTGATCGTAATTTCGAGACTACTTTAGGAGTACCTAGACCCAGAGAATTGCAAATATGTTTTGTTTGCAAGAAACGGCTAGAGTTAAAGTGAGCTTGTGAATCGGTCCCATAGCAAGACAACGATACTGACCTTGGGGTCACTGATCGTTATTTCGAGACTAGTTGAGGATTGCCTGGGACTTGGACGGTTTATTTATTTTAATGACTTCTGGCAATAGATAGAGAGTAGAAGGTGATGTGAACTCTTTTCCCTTAGAAAGGTACAACCTTCCACAATAAAAGAGACTCTTAACGGACACGGTAAAATGCGATGAGGTTAAACGTCTTGTCTTGTTAGAATCATCCCGTCATTTCTTTCTTGTTGTACCCGTTTTTGTAAAACTAAGTTTGAAGGTGGTTCAAAAAGAAGTCATACATTTGGCCCTCAGAACTAGTTAGATTCAAAATTCATTCGTCCTAACAGATTTGAAATTGGTTCAAGGCTATTGGTCGATAAATGAGTAATTGAATTCAACTTTAGGAGTTTTTGGCATCACAAATGACTTTAGAAGTGTGACCTTTGATTCAAGGAACAACCTTCTGACTAACTTAACCTATTTAATCGAAAGTATATATATACAATGTTCATTAAAGGAATGTTCTTTAATTTTTCGTTTGTGGAACCGTCAACAAACTTTTCATCCAAAAAATAGGGAATTTTGATTTTGAAGTCCGTCCTCGAATTATGATTTAAGCTTAAATAAATATTAGCGATAACATGGATTTATTACAGCTTCCCGATACCGCATTAGCCTTAGCTGCCAAAAAAGTTAGACCTAATCTTCGCGATTCTAGTGAATGTTAAACAGAAAAAAACTCATACTTGAGTTCGAATTCAAGTAGGCAATTACATCCGTCGTATCAAAGTGTCAGAAGTGTGCCGTGAGTATAAGTAGTTTATCCAAATTTACTACTTGCACTACTTGCTACCTCGATGCTCAAGAAATCAGTAAGGCACTTCGATAAATTTTTATAGAGTACATAAGCAAGGGAGATAACATTTTTAATAATATTTCGAAATGATCTGACAATATAGCTTAGCCAAACACAATGTTAAAAATATTTAATTATTCTAGAACCTAGACCATTCGGAGTAAACTATGCACGTTTTATATCTCTCAGTATGTAGAATAATGTCAACGCGGCCCTGCAGTGGGATGAGAAGCTCGACTAAGCAGCCAGATAATGATGCAAGTTTACTTTAGTTTACGATATAATTGAATTGTTACTGTGAAAATTTGGTAGAAATGATTAACGTCGTGAGAAATACTTCTTTAAGATGGAATCAAAGCCGGGCGATTCAATTCAGATGCAGAATTTGGGCATCTGTAATCCAAGAGTGACCAATTTGAAGATAATATGGTATCAAGATAGTTACAAGATAGAAATCTAGATTACGGGGAGGAATAAGGGAACAACAACAGAGGTTAGGAATGTGGGTTTCTACTTAAAGAACGCATAGCACCGTAAGAAATTTAAAAGGAAACACTATACATATTATTTTAATATGGCGGAAAGCGAAAAGCTCTTCATAATATTAGCTTTTCGTTATGATAGCTTCTTAAAAGTTGCTACGTTCTAAAAATGCAAAAAAACCGGATGAATAAAAGTGTTTTTTGGACAGAATGTAAATATTTTTTATTTGCAACTATAAGCAAAAAATATTATTTATTTACATTCACAGTCATCAATATGAAACAACTATATTCAAACATAAATAAAAATATTTACTTAAAATTCCTTTAATTAAACCATCATTTAACCATTTAGCGTTTTAACTAAGAAAAATAGAAGCTTATTATGAAAAACAATATACAGCTGTTAAAACTAACTGACGCAATTTAGCAAAACCTTCTTCTTGCTTTTCTCATAATTTTTTCCGTATAAAAGTATTCAAAGTCCATCCTTTGTCAAAAGCTCGACGACTTTCAAAGAGAAAGCACATATTCTTAACATAAAACTTCAACGAAAATGAGAACACAAGCTGCAACAGCCTTATACGCATTTCTAGCTCTGTGCTGTCTAGGTAAGTAAAAGAAACCAAATTCAAAAACAAATTTTAGATAAAACTCCAACATCTCCAACTAACTCCACAGGAAGCACATTATGTGGCCTCATCACGGAACTTGGTAAACCGCTTCAGCAGGCTGGCAATGCTGTTAGAGAACTGGGTAACAAAATTCCAAGGGCCGCAAACGTAAATTCCGACCTCGGTAGCGTTAATACTGTTAAAGATGTCGCCAAAGAAGTCGGTGGTAAAATTTCCGATCTAAGTCCCATCAAGAGTATCATCAGTCCTATTCCGAGTGAAATCGGTTTCTTTAATAAGTTAATTTCTATACTCCGCAAACTGCTGTCATCACTTAAACGCAAAGCCAAAGAAGAGCATAACGAAGATGAACCGTCATCTACGGTGGCAGTAGAGCCTATTGAGACAACGAAAGCTGGGCCCCAGGACGATGAAAGTTCAACTGTTGTTGCTACAGAAATACCAACTGAATCCGAAACCGATGAGTTAGCAACACAGGTTCCAGTTGATAATTCCTCAGATGAACTAACTGAGTCCGAAGCCGATGAGTCAGCACCACAGGTTCCAGTCGCTATATCCAGCTTATTGCCATAACTTTAAACAACAATTCTTCGTTATTGAAATTGTCATAAACAAACATCTAATTTATTAAATAGTTCTTGAGAGTTGTTTAAAATTAAAAATACAAGGAATTTTATTTTAACGTAATTTGAAAAATTAGTTGAGGATACGGAAATTATGACTGGCGGTCCACTTCATACGCGGAAGACTTAGACGACAAAAATATGTGCAACATTCAAGAACATGCAATAAATTACAATTTTTTCTGTTGCTTTAAAGTGATTGTTATGAAATTATGGTAATTCCTCATCATCACTACAATCACAGCCCTTTAATATCCAAATGTGTTGTACTTACTAGAACCGCTCATACCTCACGTGCTTTGATCCTCCGAAAGTTATCGTCAATTCGTGATATCAGATGAAGTTAGTCCACTTGGTTTTTTAATCGAAGCTGTACCTTATGCTGTACTCAACGTTGTGAATGTTTAAATATATATATATCCCAAGAATCTTTCTGTTAAACACATTCGTGTTATGTACAGTCAACCGGAATGACGAACATCACTATAAGTGGGAGTTATTGAAGGTTTTTACCGATTTCATCTAATTTTGGTCTCGTTTAAAGTATTTAAGTATTTATATACGTTTGGGGCGAATGTCGCGAAATTTTATAGAGATATCATCTGAGAGATAATCACTCAATACATGGTATTAAGTTAGCCAGAGGTTAGGAAAAAATACGAACCGCTTCTTTAAAGCTTTTATTTTAGAGATTTCTCCAAGAGAGTATAACTTAGCAAGTTAGGAATTAATGAAGCTTTTAAGGTAAGGATTTTGTTTTTTTTACAATTATACAAATGCATGTATGTACTTATATTGTAATAACGGTTTTTCAAATATTCTCCTACAATATTTCTGTGCCGCCACTGTTTTCTGTGTCTTTTAGTTACTTTCAATTGACCAAAAACTTAAAAAAACTGTAATTGAATTGTCAGACAAGAAAATTACCGTTGTTTTTGGATGAAGACACAAGTACACAAATGTTTTACTTTCTATTTGCCATACGAACAAGAATACGCTTATTATTTATTCTATATACCATATACATATAATTTGATTACTACACAAATTAGATACTTTAGTTTTTAACAAAACATTTTGAATTACAAACAAAAAAGGAAAACAAACTTTGTAAGTAAAGCATATTTTGTCCACAGATGTATACATCTGTTTACTTCTGATAAAAATAATGGAAAAAGAAAGATAAAACGTTAACTTCGGTCCTACCGAAGATTACCCGAATAAAGAAGTTTCCATACAAGAACTTGATTTTGTGTGACAGCTAATTGCTATAGTAGTCCGATCTTAAAAATTTCTCCAAATATTGTAGAGGTGTTTAGAGAATAATTGAAGAATAATTTAAGTTTCTTAGAGATATCTCGTCAAATTAGCAGCTTCTAGGGAAGGAAAGGACGCGGGGAAAATTTCAGTGGGATATCTCAAAATCAGAGGGATTAAATTACGTATATACAGACAGACAGACATGACTAAATCAACTCAGCTCGTCACGATGATCGTATATACATATATTAACATAGTATTAACAAAAGTTAACTAAGCTAGTCTTTTGAGTTGCCAAAACTGCAATGTACGCAGTATGATCGCGCATGATTCAAATGAACTGTATAACCGACAGCCGCAATTCAACACCTTGCAGTATCCACCGACAGTGTGACCGGCGGATGTAAAGCAATGCCTTACACAAGCTTAGGCGTCAGCAGACATTTAGAAAAGCAGCGTCAATGGCAGTAGCGGCAATAGTAATAGTAGGTTATAAATAAGGGAAATGTAATTTTAATAAATCAGTTTTAGAACAGAATTAAAATTGTGTTTATTTAAAATAACATAATTCCGAGGTAGTCGACAACACCGTCGCTACCGAATAAACTAAAAGGAAATAAAAATAAACAAGTAAGGAAGGGCTAAGTTCGGACGTAACCGAACATTTTATACTCTCGCAAAGTCAACTGGTATACTCGTTTGAGATTTCTTTGTGGATTGGCTGATATTTTCGGTAGAAGGTCAATTATAGGCACTGGGGTCCACATATTTAGTACTTAGGGGCTTGAACAGTTTTGGTTCGATTTAAACAATTTTTGGTCACTGCCACCTTGTGACGTGCCACCTTAAACGTATTATTCACGCAAAGTTTTACCCCGATATAATCATTGTTGCTTGATATGCATACTGGAAAGTGAAAGAATCAGATGGAATTGAAAATGGTGTTATGTGGGAAATAGGCGTGGTTGTAGTCCATTTTCGCACTATAACATAGAAATATGAAAATAACGTTATGCACCGAATTTGGTTGAAATCGGTTAAGCAGATCCCAAGATATGGGTTTTCACCTAAAAGTGGGCGGTGCCACGCCCACTGACTAATTTTGAACGCGGTTCCTATAAAGTCATCTCATACCATCCCAGAGAAAAAATTTAAGGTCTCTGGCTTGTTTAGTGCTTGATTTATCGCGGTTTTAGTAGTTTTTAAAAGTACCGTTATATGGGGAGTGGGCGGAGTTGCCACCCGATTTCAACTATTTTCACACTGTAGGTAGAGGTTCTGAAAGCATTTGCTTCCAGTGAATTTCGTTATTAAGGCATTAGCGGTTAAGGGCGGGACCAAGCCCACTTTAAAAAAAGAGTTTTAACTGCAGATTTCCCTCTTTAATGTGATCCTATGTACCAAATAACAGTCTTGTATCTTATTGCACAGCTTAGTTATGGTAATTTATTTGTTTTTGATTAATGGCGTTTTGTGGGCGTGGCAGTGGTCTAATTGCGCCCATCTGCAATACCAACCGTCTTACTGTACCAAGAAATATATGTACCAAGTTTCATAAAGATATCTCAATTTTTACTCAAGTTACAGCTTGCACGGACGGACAGACAGTCACCCGGATTTCAACTCGTCTCTTCTTCATGATCATTTATATATACATAACCCTATATCTAACTCGATTAGTTTTAGGTGATACAAACAACCGTTAGGTGAACAAAACTATTATACTCTGTAGCAACATGTTGCGAGAGTATAAAAATAACTTACATTTTGTATGGTCTCCGAAGTTTCCAGTGTTACAAACTTCGTGGCGAACCTAATCTACCCTATTCAAGGTATATAAAAAATTAAACAGTTGAAGAGTAGGCCCTAAAAGAGGCAACAAGCACATGATATTCACCATTAAGTATTATATTTGCGCAACATTTGTTAACAGTATGTTGCTAAGCAATATAAAAGCTTTTAGTAAGCAACATACGTCCGTTACAGTGATGGCGACATATTAAGCACTAAACCATGTTATATTTAAGAAAAGATATGCATTTCATTTCATTGAAATATCACATATTCGGCATAAGGTTTGTTAAATTAATGAAAACCATTATGTAGTGTAGGAGAGCTGGGGTAATTTGTTGACCAATTTCACACATATTCGGTATTCAACTTTAGTATATCCAATATTATACGTTCATTTAATGTTGATCGATATTTTTAGCATTACTACATATTATTTACAGAAAAAGATGCTCTCCGAGTTTCATTAAGGTACCTCACATATCATCACTAATATATGCGGCATAAAGCAAACGAAAGTTTGAAAAACTTATATCGGGTATGTATGAGATAGAGGAAGTATTAATCACATTTTATCAACTTTTGGTCCAAGAATATACTGTTATGTGAAATAGACGTTTTTTGAATTTTCATTAAGTCACATATTGACCGATGTATACAATTTAAAGTCAACTCGAAGTTCGAAAATGTCAGTAACAGTGGTCCCTGAGATTTGAGATCAATTAAAGGTGGACGGTGCCACGCCCATTATCCAGTGTAATCCCTTGTACCAAACTATAGGGTGCATCTTAATTTGGAACATAGCTATAGCACCTACCAATTGCAACCTTCTTGCGTGTACCAAGTTTCATCAATATATCTGAAGTTTTACTCTGGTTGTTGCATCCCATGGACGGACGGACGTCAACCAGAATTCAACTTGTCTCGTCAGCCTTATTATTTATATACATGAGTATGTATATATAACTAAATATCTATCTCGGTGAATTTTAGGTGATACAAAGCACCGTAACGTGAACAAAACTTTTAACAAGAACATAACGGTCTTACGATCGTGCATCAAAACCGCACATCTAGGCTAATTGAGTTCGGAAAGGTTGCACTCCTACCTACCTACTTATTCCGACACATTTATATTAAATTCAATCTAACCGACAAGCGGATACCGTTATATCAAGGATTGGGCTCTATACCGATTTCATTCAATTAACGGTTAAGAAAATACCTAATGTCATTCAAATATAGCACATGTTGACCTAAATAAAGTAATTTAAGTCAACTGGAAAGTCGGAATTCACTATATTAGGTAAACGGGGGCTGGGAGATATATTGAATCGATTATAACAATTTTCAGAACAAGGACAGATAATTATCTTATAAATACGCTCCCTATATTAGGGAAAGTATTAACCCAATTATACTCTTTTTCGATACTAGAACACAATTTTTTACTTTTTTATTTATACAGAATGTAAATATTTTTCTATCTCCAATTTTAGGCAAACAAATATATTTATTTACATTGACAGTTATCCATATGAAACAGTTTTATGCAAATATAAACAAAAATATTTACTTAAAATTCCTTTAATTAAACCATAATTTAACCATTAAGCGTTTACATTATTTGTTTCTTTTGGTTTATTTGGCCAACAAAAATAGACTTTTGTTTTGAAAAACATTACATGAACTAACTGACGTAAATCATGATGCAAAATCTTAAAATAACATTTGTATCAATTAATATCCGTATTTTTTCCGTATAAAAGTGTTCAAAGTCCATGACTTTTTCAAAAGCTCGACAACTTTCAAAGAGAAAATACAAATTCTAAACATAAAACTTCAACTAAAATGAGAACACAAGCAGCAGCAACCCTGTACACACTTCTAGCTCTGTGCTGTGTAGGTAAGTAAAAGAAATAAAAAACAAATAATGAATTAGGGAAAACCTCATATCCTCCAACTAATTCAACAGGAAGTACTTTATGTGGGCCCATAACAGAGCTTGGTAACACGATTCAGGAGGCTCCAGTCGATAATTTCTCAGAAATTCCAAGTGGTTCCGACTACGATGAGTCAGCAACACTGGTTCCAACCGATTATGCCTCAGAAATACCAACTGGTTCCGACTATGATGAGTCAGAAACACAGGTTCCAGTCGATAATTCCTCAGATATACCAACTGGTTTCGACTATGATGAGTCAGAAACACAGATTCCAGTCGATAATTCCTCAGAAATACCAACTGGTTCCGACTATGATGAGTCAGAAACACAGGTTCCAGTCGATAATTCCTCAGA